GGTTCTTTTCAACCCAGGCCGTTCTATTTTAAGGTCCTCTCGAGTTCTTCCATTTGTTTGGAGAAGGAACAGGAGCAGCCCTGCAGTTGTGCTTTACCTTCAGTCAAATGGACTGTGCTCAAAACTTCTTCCCAGCACTGCTCAGCTCAATCTTCACTTATCCAGAACCTCCCACTGATCCCATCACATCACCCATCCCCTGCCTGGCACCAAGGGAAGAACTCCTCAGTGATGTTCGAGGGGAGCAGTGAGGATAAAAAATGAGAAGATGGCAGATTAGATCTCGAGTGACAGAAATGAGAAATAAAAGCCATTAGAGCCCATTTGCAACGTGGCCTCATCGAGTCAAGTTTCAAGGTGTTTTTCCAGATAATGAATAGCCTGACAGCAGTTTTTGTACAGGCATCTGATACATGAAATAACACTCGTGTATACAGAGGGGAAAGTGGAGTCCTCTCATTTATTTACTTGAAGAGGTTTGAAATGCAGCAAGCCAGCCAGCTGGGTTACAGACAAAATAAACATTCTCTGTTATAACTGTGGCATCCTCAGACACATGTCTCTATAATAATGCAGCACTATGAAAGGAGCTCTCATAAGACTCTGTTTGCTGTAGGCACAGTCTGAGCTGTGTTTGGAGGGGCCCTGCCCAAGCCTTAGTGTTCTTTGGTGTGGAGGCACTTCAGTCCTGAGGAGATCTGTCTCGTCTCAGTGCTGCTCATCTGAACTCTCTCAGTGTGATATCCGGGTGAAAGGGAGGCCACAAAGAGAGGGAGAGAATGAGATTTGGGTGTGTGGGAAAGAAAAGATGAAGAATTCCCAAAGTTCTCCATCAGAGCCACACGCCTGTTAGGAGGAAGTGCCAGGTGGATGGCTTTGAACTTCACAGGGCTTTGTAGCACTGAGTTGTCAAATATGAGTAATTGCAGCTTTCTTCACTAGCAATGGGTGCCACAGACACTGACTGACAGAGCCCACAGTGCCCATGGGCCAAACAGACGTTGGGCTGAAAGAGAAAAGCACTTCAAACGTCATTAGATGCTGATGTCTGCTTGTCTGTGTCTGTTGCTTTCTATTGAGCTTCCAGTTTTTACTTCCTCATCTCACATTGCAAAGTAGTTCTGCTCATGAGAATCGCTGGGCAGAAATAACAGTCTTGATCTATGTTGCATAATAAGTTGTAGAGGTAATCAAGCCAATTTTCTTTCTGAAGCCAGAAAAGTAGAGGCCAACTTTGCACATTTCTGCTCCTTTCCAAACTGTCTGTAGCGTGCAGCCTTGGCAAAGTTGGCAAAAAAGAACTTTGCAGGTTGGAGTAATTGCATTATTGGATCTCCTGCAACTAGGTGACAGCCACCACCTGCATGGGTAGGTCTGGAGAGTGACACAGATAGATATCTTAGCTGAGATACCGAGATGAAATTAAAACAGAGGTAGCAAAGCCTCCCTCCTGCTAGCCTTCCTTTGCTTTCATGGTCTCACAATTCATAATGTAACCATATTGCAGTTTGTATGCTGGCAGCTTCTGGGTGCTCTTTGAGCTTCTGACTGCAGAAGACAGAAATGAACTTCAGACACTGGTTGGCTTTCTAGCAAAGCGGTATCCCTGCCAGGAGACAGATGAGACAGCCTGAAAATCCACTCCTGTATTAGGGTCGATTACCTCCAGTGGTTCCACATCACCTACCGTGCAATTGTGCGTGTGTAGTTCCTGCTTTGGTTTTGGTAAACCTTGTGGGTGCACAAGTGTTTCCAAAAGACAAGTCGTGTGTCATTGTTGAGGAAAGCAATGCTTTGGCAGAGAGCAAGGCTGAGGACAGCAGTTGCCTGCTAGCTCTTCCTTTCACACCATTACAAGTGCTGCATAACTCCTAGGAAGTGCTGAGACGCGTTCGTAACTCCTCGCTCAGCACTTCTTGACTTCTCAGACTTCACACGTAGACTGTGAGCTGCCTGGGGAGCCAACAGGTTCTATAGCGTCGTACCTTCTTGATCCAAACACCGAAAAGAAGCAAAGAATGAACATCACCTCCAATGGGCAGATCTGCTGCTTTTAAAGTATTTTGCTGTCCTTCAGGAAGAAAAGTGCCCACGCAACAGTGAGGCATGATTATAGTTCCTTTATTGCTTTGTACGTGCATAATTTACTGACTGCTATGAAAACCCCTGGTGGAATGCCTCTTTGATGTCGTCTGCCTTGCTTAAGTAGTGGTTGCTGTTTGCTTCTTTCCTACCCAACTGGTTGCAATGCTGCCCATGGCAATTTCGGTGGCTGAATTCCTTCCTCCAGTAAAATCTTAACTAGTTGAACTGAACCTTGAAACAGTTCCACATCTCCCTCAGTAATTATCTAGAGGGAAATCCAGCTTAATATAAACAGAGAATAGCAGAATGGTGCTATATACACGGTTCAATTTCCCTTCAGGTAAACCACTAATGGCACATATAACTCTCATAATTAAAAGCTGCATCTGATAGAACAAAGTCGCCTGTGCAAGCAAAGGAGGAGGGAGATGAAAGCACCACTGGTGCAGAGCAGCAGTCCGACGATGGGCCCATGCATGTCTCTTTTCCCTGCTCTGAGAAGCAGCCAGAGCCTGAAACCTCTTCTGACAAGCAGCTCCTCTGATGACAGATGCTGCCTGCAGCCTCCCCAGGCTGCAAACAGACGCATTGTTCTTGCTGTCAGCTCCCCATTGAAAGGTGATTCCAGCAAGCAACAATTGGCATGATTTGTTAGCATTAGTCAGCAAGTGCATGGATCAGATTTGCTCCCAAGGAAAAGGAAAAGCAGGTCTGAGACTGAGAAATCAGAGCTCGTAATCAACAGCTTGTCAGGGAGCAGGTCTTGCTCTTTGGGGTGTGAATAGGGATGTTTAGCTAGCCTCACTTCAACTCCTTCAGACTTCAGAAGAAGGCCCATTTCTGTTGGAGCGATATGGATGAATTGACCACGTCCTTCTTTGGGATCCTCACCTCATGAGGTGAATTTACATGGTAAAAAAATATCCCCAAAATATTTCCTGTGAAATATCTCTGCATTGATACCTTGAAGGAAAGAAATGTCAGCTCTATACTTCTGTGAGGGCACCAGCTCTGTAAGAAACTTGTGGGGAAGCACTGAAGACCATTTTGCTCTTTATAGCCATAGTGTGTCCTCAATACCATGTGCATTTCTGGCCCTATTTCTGGGCTCCCTGCTCTGTTAGGTGTACCGTAAAGTAGCTCTGAGTGTTACTTTGTTATCTACTCCGTTACAGCTGGAACACAAGGATGGACACTGCTTCCTGAACAGCAGTCAGCAGTGGGAATAAGTGCTGCTCTCATTTTCTAACCAAGTTGTGCTACAACTCTGGGTACAACCAGCTGAGGTCGGTCTGATACAGCAGTGTTCAGCTTACTTGTTTGATTGGAACCATTTGGGTATAGAATCATTGAATCATAGAATGGATTGGGTTGGAAGGGACCTTTAAGATCATCTATTTCCAAACCCCCTGCTATAGGTAGGGATACCTCCCTCTAGACCAAACTGGGTATCTTCTGGTTCTTCCCTCCCCAAACTGCAGCTGCAGTCCCTACAAAAAGACATCTTCTCCCCATGCTGGGCCCTGGGTAGGCAGAAACCTCACAACGAGGTGCTAATTCTACATTCAAGCATGTCTGTACTTTGCTTTTTCCAGAACATCTGAATTGCTCGCAGTGCAAAAGTGTGGAGCAGAGATGAGCCAGAGATGAAGCAAATGATTAACACCAAGCACGCAGCCTGGAGCTGCAATTACACCTGATTCTTCTTTTATTTTTTTTAAGTACATCTTGGCACATTTTCCCCACCCTTCCCTCTCCCCCAGCACAGCTAGAGGTAGTCCATTAGCGTGAATGATGCGTGTCACTGCATGCTGATCTAGGACAGAGCTCTGGTTGCTTTTCAGAGCCGGTGCCTGGGAGCACAATTATACACCAACCGAGATCCTCGGCGGTGATTTAAAACAGAACTTGATTTTAAAGGTGCATCTTAAAAGCACCTGGTTTTCTAAAAATGTAAAAGCGACTCAGTTCTCACTATCTGCAGATAAGAAGCTCTCAGATTAGGTGCCTAAAAATAGAGGCATCCTATAGTATTAGTCACTGCTGGAAATGCTGTTCACGCAGCTCCGCTTCCTTCCAACCTGCAGTCTGTGCTCACTGCTCACTGCACGATGCCCAAGATGGGAAATCCGGGCCTCCAAGATCCCAGCAGGTTGAGTTCACACGACTCCTTCCATGTGAACTTTGCTCACATGCTGTACCACGGAGCTGTGCTCCCCAGCCCTGCTCTCTGAGCGCAGCTGCTCATCCCATGCTGCTTTTGGTCTGCATGGCACACAGACCCGGGCTCTGTCCCACTCTTGGCAGGAGGCTGCATTCCCAATTGTGCCTCCGTCCACCCCTCAGCAGTCCCAGTTAAGTCCTCATCTCCTCGAATCGCCCCTCATTGCCATCTCTGGTCCTGATCATTTCCCTCACCCATCTCTACTTTCCGTTTATAGTTGGCTCAGCAGATGTCAGCACCTTCTGATACATGACAAAGCTGCAAATATCAAGCCTCTTTTTTTGCCTGGCATTTATTCCCACCACTAAACTCGACTCTCTATAACTTGCAATGCCCACTGGCTGTTACAGGGGAGAGGATTTTATTCACCTGTGATAAAAACCTCAGAAATACCGAGCTGGGGAAAGGTACAGCTGCTCAGAACCTTTCAGCTTTTGCACTTTCTCCTTTCTATTAACGAGCTATTCAACAAGTTAAGCCTGAGCAACTGCTCCTGACCCCGTGGCCAAAGTGTCATCTGTGACCGTGCTCTGTCATTTGCAAAATGGAATGGCTCTGACTGCTTGAGCACACCGCTCTGCGGTGACATTTCCAGGACATCCGCACTCCAAAGGCACGCAGTAGCCTTGGATTAGAGTTTAAAATAGAAACATGTTTGCCTTTGTGTACGGCATGGGATTGCTAGGGAGAAATAGCAGTGAGTGCACGCAGCTGGATTGCACGACCTGCAGGAGCTGCTGGGACTCGGTCTGCTTGTCACGTTACAGCCATTCTCCGGGCGATTTATTCAGCTGAGTCAGGAAAAGCCGCTGCCTGCTGCTTCTAAGAAACTCTCTGCACCTCAGGAGAGACAGCGCTAATTAACACAGGTCTAAATTAGAGCAGAACTAAGGCTAGTGCTTGGAAAACGTGAGCATAAAACCAGGAGGGCTGTGTGCAACCTGCTGAGCTGCCTACAGGTGCCTGAGCTTCAGGCTGTGCTTGGAGCTGGTGGCAGTGCTGCTCCATGTCGTGCAGGCTCAGTGGGAGCTGCAAAGGCCCTTGCTGCCCTTCTCTGCAATGCTAAGTGAAACTGGTCTCAGTCGGTCTCGGTCTCAGAACGGTAAGCCTGTTAACTTTGGTTTCCTAACAAACAACAGCTGAGATTCTTTTGTTTGTTTGTTTTAGGTATAGTAGTTTCCAAACACTGGCAGCAAGCTGCTGTTCGTCTGCTTGCTGGTAAGTGGTAGCTGCTGACTTCCTCCTAACCCTACTGAACGCTCACCCGAGCTGGGTGGTGAGCAGAGCTCATCCCCCCCGAAACCTCATGAGGGCAGTCACAAGGGATGAGAGCACCATAGGCTCTTCCATGCGCTCCCATCCCCTCTCTGCCCTCCCCTCACCCTCTCCTCCTGCACATCACTGTCCCCTGCGCAGCCCTGTGCCCTCTCCTGCTGTGCAGTGGCAGCTTTCAGCTGTGTTGTAGGGAGCATCCAACTGATTTATTGCTCTCAGCATCTCTTAGTTTGTAATAAAGTTTTCAGCAGCTCTGCTGAGGTTGCTCCCCACCCCCACGCACGCACACATCCCTGCGCTCGCTTTGTTCTTCTCACACATAATGTCAACTCATAAACCTTTCATCAAGTCAACCAGGTGGAAAAAACCCATTACTGAAAGAAGTGTTCATTCAGGTTTGGGGGGGTGGGGGGGTGGAAATGGAGGAGAAAGTTCCCCAATGGAAAAAAAAAAAAAAAAGAAAAAAAATAAAGGAAGAAAAGCTGTGTGTGCTCTGAGCTGAGCGCTGGCTCTGTGGCACACCCAGGTGCCAGGCCCCAGCAGATCTGTCATCCCAGTGACAGGAGGTGGAAGAGCTGCACACACATCCAAGGAGGCAGTGGCTTGAGCCTGATCCCCACTGATGAAAGGAAACATCAGCACTGCTGCTCTCTGCCAGCACCAATGAAACCACACGGGTTGTTGAGCAGCAGGAGGACCCCAGCAGATGGGTTGAAGCCATGTTGGCTGAGGATTGAGTGCTGATTGGTGCTGCTCATGCTGCCCAGCACGGGGCTGGCATAGTCAGTGGGAACGAGCTGTGCAGAGGGAGCCAGCAGTGTGCCCTGGTGGCCAAGGAGATGCTCTGATTGACCAATGGTTGGCCAACAGTTGACCATGAGCCAGCAGTGCACCCTCGTGGCCAAGGAGGCCAATGGGACCCCAGGGTGCATTGAACAGGGTGCCAGCAGGGCAGGGAGGTGCTGCTCCCCTTTGCTCTGCCCCAGGAAGGTCACTATGCCCAGTTCCAGGCAGACTGAACTGCTAGAGAGAGGCCAGCACAGGTCTGCAAAGAAAGTGGGAGCCTGGAACACCTCCTGATGGGGATGGGCTGGGAGCCCCAGGGCTGTTCACCTGGAAAACAGAGAGGGGATCTGAGCAATGCTTATCAATATCTGAAGGCTAGGAGACAAATGGATGGGCCAGGCTCTGTCCAGTGGTGACCAGCACCAGGACAAGGGCTACCAGGCACAGGCTGGAGCCCAGGGGATTCCATCTGTACATTAGGGGAAAATTCTTTACCTTGAGGGTGCCAGAGTGCTGGGACAATCTGCACAGAGAGTTGGTGCAGTCTGGTTCTCTGGAGAGATTCAAGATCCACCTGAATGCTTTCCTGCATTAGAGGGGTTCAGTGGAGAGCTCCAGAGGCTTCTTCCCTCCCCTATGGATCTGTGTGGTGCTGAGGAGGTGTGTGAAGGGCAGGGATGGAGCTTCTGATGCTTCGATCTGGGGAAAAGGAAAAAAAAAAAGGAAAAAAGGAAAAAAAAAACAGCAGTAAAATTTGACAAATTTTGAATGGAATTTCCATAAAAAAGGGTGGATGGGTGGAGTTTACACCAGCATCTTTGTGGTTTTGGGAACACGCTTTGGGGTTTGATGGATTGCTTTTTGCGCAGGGACATGGAGAATGTACTGCACAAAATTTAATTGAAATAGTTTTTTCCAGAGCTGCTGGAATGGAATGGATGACAGAGCTGCTGCTCTGGAGAAGGGAAACGAAGGCTCTGAGATGGAGAAAGGATGGAAGACAACAAAGGAGCACAGGCAGTGACATCTGTCACTGGTATTTGATAAGTTAAAAATTCAGCATAATCTCCTGCCACCCTGTCCGCCGTGCTGAGTTCCAACAGTAACAGAATTGTCATGATTTCTACATGAATTAATTCAAATCTCTTTTTGCATGATATGGTGTAAGAAAGGGGCCATCTGGTTTATGTTCTAGGTGTCAGAACCACTCATACCAGCACACTCTCTTAGTGCAAGATGTATGTTGACTGCACATATTAATGTCTCCTTACCCTCTGCCTCCCTGAGACCTGATGCTGTTGTCCCATTATGGTGCTGCCATTTATACTGTCAATAGCAATAATAGGAATAATGCAATACTGGCATGCACACGGAACCTCCAATTACAGATGTGGCTGAGCTACATTTGTATTGCTTTCTTCACACGTGGGAAGTTTAGGGATGTTAAGTGGGAACACGCTGTGATAAGGATAGGAGTGGACCAGTGCACCATAGAAGGTTGTCCAGAGGGAAAGAATGGGATCAAGAAAATGGGTCTGAGTTTCTGGGCTGTTAGTGGTGCTTTGGGTGTCAGTTTTTATAATGACTTTCTGTTGCTGTGTGCTTGAATGTGCCAAATCTGAACAGGATCAGCTCACTGGTAGCAGCCAATGAGCCACTGCCCCTATCCCTGCACTGCAGAATGGGGCTCAGAGCAGTGGGTGAAGGAGTCCTGCTGCAGAAAAACTCATCTACTGCAGATTAGCTCTATTTATACTGCGAAGGCTCTGGCTTAAGTGAGGAGCTTTTTTCCTTAGAAATATTGTCTTAGCATGAATTTATCTCAAAATGAACTTTATGGTAAATATAATTTAAGCATAAGCTTAAATTCAAGGTCTTATTTAAGTGCTTTTCTACTTTACTTGCCAGTGAAGGATCCGGCCTGGGCTTTGAACCTCTTCAGGGAGAAGAAACAGATTAATGAGATTAGAACGTTTTAAATCACTTCTGTGCTTTTCTGGGCCGCATGATCTTTATAATGCCACATCTCTATGGACTCCACGAAGTGCATTGGCTGGGTGCTGGTAGGCAGGGATGAAGGAAATGAGGCTTGCTTGTGCATCCATTCAGATCTGGGGAACGTATTCAATGGCCTGTGGGTATGTTGAGTTTCATACGTCAGTGTGTGTTTAATCTCTCTGCCTGCTTTTTGAAAACCACCATTTTAGAACTAAACTCTCAACCTTGTGGGCCTGATTTCCTCAGTGAGTTTTGGACAACCAGGCCAGTAACACGAGGAATGGGGTCATGGCCGATGGTGAGATGGGCACAAAATGTTCAGAGCACACAGGGCTCTGGGCTGGCACCTGTGGGACCTCCTGCCTACACCAGCATATGTGGGCATGCACACACAGCCCTGCAGTCCCGCAGGCAAAAGGCAAATCCGTGCCTCTTTGAGTTTTGCTGTTGTTTTCTTCTGAGTTCCAAACGAAGCCATCCCTGCAGCAGTGCAGGAGTTGGAGCCACGAGCTCAGGTTTCCCCCAGTGTCACTGGGTGGTTTCCATTTAGCAGTGATGCAATGTAAAGTGACCCCGGTGAGAGCAGTGGGTGTAATGCAGGTTGTTGGCCCGCGGGGTGCAGGGCTTTGTCAAAGGGAAATGGAGCAATTGCAACAGACTGGAGTTTCCTGCAGCTAAAGTTTCCCAGCAGACCAAGTTAATCTGTTCCTCAAAGGCTTTGTGTGAAGGAGAGAAGCGAGAAGCACAAATCCTACGAAATATCGAAAGCCTCAGGATTTTGTCTGCCCTGAGATTTTCAGCAAGGCAGGTTTCCCCAAGGGTTTAATTGCATGTTCATCTCTCGCAGCCTGTGCTGGCTCAGGCTTTGAAAAGCTGCGTGAGAAGGAGCAGGGGAGAAGTCCATAGTGGTGTAAATGCTGCTGCTGGTCGCTCCTGGTCAATGTCAGACCATCCCTGTGAACCCATCTGCACAGTGGAGAGCTCAGAGTGTGGGGATGGGGATGGGGATGGGGATGGGGATGGGATGGGGATGGGGATGGGGATGGGGTGGGGTGGGGATGGGGATGGGGATGGGGATGGGATGGGGATGGGGATGGGGATGGGGTGGGGTGGAGTGGGGTGGGGATGGGGATGGGGATGGGATGGGGATGGGGATGGGGATGGGGTGGGGTGGGGATGGGGATGGGGATGGGGATGGGGATGGGGTGGGGTGGAGTGGGGTGGGGATGGGGATGGGGATGGGATGGGAATGGGGATGGGGTGGGGTGGAGTGGGGTGGGGATGGGGATGGGGATGGGATGGGGATGGGGATGGGGATGGGGATGGGGATGGGGATGGGGATGGGATGGGGATGGGGATGGGGATGGGGATGGGGATGGGGATGGGGATGGGGATGGGGATGGGGAGTCAGGCGGGAGGCACAGGGTGTGTATGGCTGTTTCCTACGTAGAAATAGAGAGTATAATTAAAAATAAATCACCGTAGCTTTTAGTTTGATGAAATTACCAATTATATTAACAGCAGCTTGAGCTGACTCTAAATCACTTCCTGCAGAACGTCGCTTTGGGATTTAAAATGTTTGATCTGTTAAAGAATGTGTTGAGCTGCGTTTGGGAAAGAAAGGAGCAAAACATGGATCCCACAGGTGTGAATGCAGGATGTTCTTAGATCCACAGTGCCTGAAGTCAGTGAGAACTGAAATATGCCATTCTAAAATATGGCATATCGACCCAAAGCTGCTCCCAAGCACTCCATCAGCCCCATTCGGGTGTGGGTCAAAGCTATGGCTTCTTCTTTTATAGCATTTTCTGATGCTGTGTTCTATATTGCAGTTGTGGTAGCTTCAGAAATCACAATGTGAACTCGTGAATCTTGGAAGTCTGGGGTTTACACTGCTGCAGAAGGGCTATTTGTTGAATACAAGGCCTGATCTGGAAATGCATTTAAGACATGCATGACTTTGAGCATATAAATAGTTGCACAGAAGTCAATGGGACATAAATTTATGAATTTGCCTAAGTGCTTTGCTGGATCTCTGCCTGAGGAACCACTTACCACGAGTTTGAATAACAGAATGATGGCCTCATTAATGAGCAAAGCTCTGGACCAAGAGCATCAGTGAGATGTGAAGTCCAACTCCATGCCATATCTGTGCTACTCGCCTTGACTTCATCTACGTAAACTCATTCTGCTGCGCTGACATTTACATCCTTTGCCCTTTCCAAATTGTATTTATAAAATCCAAATTGATTTATAAGTTCCATTTCACACTCTTGAGGGCAGTGGGATTGTGCAAGATGTAGAGCAGCAGTCACAGCGATCTGGGATGGGTGCAAATCAGAGCAGGCAGTGCAGCACCACAGGGACATGGCTCATTCTGTGCAGGAGATCTGTGTCTGCTGTGCCATCTGAGTGCTGTTCTCTGCACAGCGCCTCTAGGAGAAATCACAGCACCTGCTTGAAGCAGCTCTGTGAGCTGTTACGTTTATCAGCTCAGACAGGGCAGGTAGCGAGAAGAACCTGGGTCAGGTCTTTGCTGAGCAGAGCAAAGAGCAGAGCTTTGCTGTGCAAAACACTACCAAAAATAGGGTCTGCCTTCAGAGCATTGCAATGTAGATAAAAACAGCAGCGTGGTGGTGGGACAGGGCTGGAAGGCCTTTTGCTACATTGGGGTTTCTTCTAAAACACGAGGTAGCAGCACGGCCTGGAAGACCGTGGAATAAACGATGAGGCAGAAGTCATTTGCTGAGCTGTTTCAGCAAGTAAATCCATCTCAGGATTGGAACGGCACTGCAACAAGTTAAAATACTTGATGGTATGGTGCTGTGGCACGGTTGGTGGGCACGGTGAGGATAGGCTGATGGTTGGACTTGCTGATCTCAGAGGCCTTTTCCAACCTTAATTCCATGGTTGTTTGGCTGATCTGTTCCTGTGCGCAAATCTTTATTCCAATCAAATAAGGAACGCTACCAAGAGCGAAAGAAACTTTTGCAAGCCATCTCCAAGCTTCAACTGGTAAAAGGCTTAGTTGAGCTTTGGGCAGTGAGAGCAGCTGCAGAGCACAGAGGGTGTGCAGGGATGGGGGCTCAACCTATGGCGTGGCACAGCCCAGCTGCAGCAGCAGCAATGCACAGACATGCACAGAGACACAGCACAGACTGACCCTGCACCTCCACCTCCTAAGAACATCCAATAAGCAAACATTTGGGAGGTTTAATTTATGGAGATCAGTGTGTCAGGCATATTTTGAGGAAACTTTGGGACTGTTTTCCAGAAGTGAGCCCCAGAATTCCTCCAGGATCTCCAGGCGCTTTGTTGTTTAAAGGACCTCCAGTCCTTCCCATTCTCACAGCATCCTCTGCTGTGGTTCACACACAACTGTGTTAACACGAGTCTGGAATATCTCAACACATAATTATTTATCCTTCAAAAAAAAAAAAAAAAAAGCCAACAAAGAAAACCATGCCTGAATCTGACTAATATCCCTTCCCAGCCTGCCAAGTGGGGCCTTGTGTTTTCAGTATTGAAAACCAAGCCTGACTTGCTGCATATTTTGTGTTACTATGGTTTATGTCCAAATGCAAGGATTTAATTTTGTCCGTCATCAAGCCGTGGTTTCCATATGACACCAATACATTCCTTCTTCCTCCTGCTGTTCTGACAGACGACAGAATAGAATTAAGCACTGCCACTACTGTGCTTAAAACACAGGAGTTTGTGCTCCTTTGGCTTTGGAGATCAAGGGGCAGATCTTTGGTGGGTAGAAACTGTCTTGACCAGAGATAGGAACATTTACACCACTTACCCCAACTGAGGTGCAATCTTAGATGTATTTATTTATTTTGCAGTGCCATTTGAAGATACAGTAAGACTGAAAGTAAGATTGACTCTTGTCGTCTTCTCTGCAGAGCCCTTATGAAAGATGACTGTTGTGTTTCCATCTGGAGCAGCTGAGCAGCCTGACGTATGCCTCTGGAAGTCAGTAGAGAGAAAGCCCTGTGCACATTCACCCCTAACTGCATCCTGCCCTCCCAGTTTCAATGGAGCAGTACCAACCCTGCAAAAAGCCAACCCACAGACTCCAAACTGAGGCTGAGAGGAGGAAGATGAGCGGTTCCCTCAGAGCAGCTGATGCTGCAGGGGAGCTGCAGGAGTGATGCACGAATCTCACATTGAAATTTAAGTTCTGGATCTCAAAAATAATAGGGTTCTTCCACTCTGCAAGGACGGCTCAGTGCCTGGGGTTGCTGTGATGTCATTCCTTTTGGGAACCTTTTTGGGTGAAGTCAGTGCAGGTGACCTCCACTTCCATCAGAATACCACTGCTGTGATCCTGGGCTGCTGGATTCTCAATTGCTCGTAGCAGTTTCCCTGTCTGTCCATCCACAGTGCTCCGTCAGTGTGCTGAGTTACATCTGAGTGTTGTAATGCAGCTGAGCCGAATAATCCCTGCGGATAGGAAGAGGAGATGGATGCATTCTCCTCAGGAAGAAGAGTCCAAGAGGATGATAGCAACGATCCAGCTGGACCTGCAAGTCAACACCATTCCCGGATTTAGCCGAGAACTTTGGCAGTTTTTGAGTTGCTTGGGATTTTGCCCTGGATCCTCAGTGTCAGGAATGGCTGCTGCCCAGATTTGCAAGGTGTGGTACAGCCACTGCTGCTGATGCCAATAGTCAAGGAGAGGGGAATGAAACCTGCTGAGACTTGGGAATGAAACAAATCAGCATTAATTAAAAGCAAATGCTATCTGTTGACTAAGAGGTTCCAAAGCAGATGTTTGTCAAAATCGCCAGGAGATGGGTCATCTGAAAGCAGAGGTAATAAATAATGAGAACGATGTTTCTAGTCATTTCATGTTTTCTCAGGTCAAAACCAGGTGTCAGTCAGGGCTGGAAGTATCACAGAGTGAAACACATTGTGTTGTTCCACTGCAGGGAGCACAGCCATCTCTGTGTTTGTGACCCATGTGCTCAAAGCACTGTGCACCTATGGACCCGTGGCAGCATTACATGCACAGCTGGCAGCGTGCTGGGCAGGCCCTCACATCACTCCTACTCCATCAAATGGCTCTCTGCAAGTTTATGCTCAGGTGGATGCATGTTGGAATGGCATTGGCACTTCTGTGGCTCTCCATCCCTTTCTGGCAGCAGCACGGAGGAATTCGGGCAGCTCGCTCTGTTCTGTCCTGGGATACATCAAAAGATGAAGAAACGTCCAGCTGTGATGCAAACCAGCTTTTCCAGGTAAGATTTCTGCTTCTAATTCAGCACTGTCAGCTAAACTTGGGATGCCTGATTCCTGTAATGTGCTTTTACAACTTAACTGTGGTCTTCAGACCAGGCAGCTCTGCACTGTGCAGCCTGCAGGTGAAGCAGCAGGTCCTGGGAGGCTCTTCCTACAGTCAGGGCTGCAGAAATATAAATATGTGTAGGGCCAAATTCACTGCTGACACAAGGACACATAATGCACAGTTTTCAGAAAGATATACCTGCTTGCTCTTGAAAAGAGCATGGCCTGCTTGTTTCCTCATGTACCACCATATATAATATCCTCATAGAAACATACTTTGACCAAGTTCTAGTATTTATATACGGTGTGGTAGATGCTGTATAAATATCCATGGGTTCAATTGCCAGCACATAAATCAGCGCAGTTAAACAAAGACACAGATTTACACTCCCTGCAATTCTGATGTTATAAATGGATCAGTGTGAGCCAGCTCCCAGCCTGGCACTTCACATGCAAATACCAGTCATGTCTACAGGCAGGAGATGGTAGGGATGTAAGTGTGGGCATCTAAATCTTCATACCAGGACTGCTGCATTCCACACTCAACTGGTCTGTGCGTGGGGGATGTAAAGGCAAAGTTATGAGGCTGGGCTAGCACTCAAACTTTGTTTTCCAGATGAAGTGAAAGGCATTTTTTTCCCCATAGCTTTAAATGAGCAAAACTGTATCAGATTTCAAGAATGCAGCCCTTTGTTTCAACCTCAGTTTGTTTACAAAGAGTGTGGTAAGGACACAGTAAGGAATTAAACCTGTGGGTGCATTGTTTGCCTTGGGATTTATCTGTGGGGCTGTCTTCATGTACCTGTTTAGATATGTGTTCTGCAGCTCTGAAGATATGCATGCTAGAGCAAAAAAAGCCAATGTTTAGAATTAATTTATCCAAGCACCCACTGTGCAAAGGTGCCCTGTGCACACGTTTGGTTGTACATAGATGTGAGCATAGAATAACGTTTGCATGCACAACCACACACAAATTACACACAGAAAACTAAGCGTAATGCCCAGCATTCCCTCAATAATGCATCCCTCCAAGGAACGTCCAGCTTATTTGTGTCAGCAGACAGACCTCCAAACCAAGGAGGCACTAATATAGATGCACAGTGAAGCCCAGCATCTCAGCACCTGTAGGAGCAATCAGTTGTTGGAGCACTGTGTGTCCCCACTCCCTGCTCCCCATCCCTCCCAGGCAGTGCTCTCCATCCCGGATCCTCTGATCTTTGCCCTCTTTCCCTTCAAATTAAATTTCAACTTTTGTTTTTTTCTTCTGGATCTCTGGCAGAGTGACAAGGCAGTGCCAGAACTGTCTTTTAATACACAAAAGCATAAATAATGCCATCCATCAGAGCTGTCACTCACAAAGATAGATTGCTGCTTGTCCAGACGTTGGAATGACACAGAAGTGAAAGTTAGGAACCGTCTCTTTTCTTTGCTCTCTTTCTTTTTCTTCTTCTCTCTCTCTCTCTTCTCTTTTTTTTTTTTATTTGCCGGACTGCTTGATTCTGATTAATGGTGCTGTCAGGGAGGGATTCCGCTTGCCCGGATAATGAGTCAGGAATGTATTCCCTGTCACAAACACAGCAGATGTCAGGGGCAGAAGGGCCCGGGAATGCCAGAAACAATATACAGTTTCTTCCTAGTCCCCTGACAGGCCAATATGCTGCACAAGGTCTAATTTATGTAGACAAAACGCAGGCAAGGGGCTGTAGCAGCAGAGAAACTGTGCTGGGAAGTCTGAACTACAATGCAGCAGGGGAGAGAGCTGAAGGGAGGTAATGAACGCTAGCAGTGGGACTCAATAGCACTGCATCAAATGGCCTTAACAAGAATGGCCCAGGACCACTTTGACTCCATTAAAGTGCACTTTACATCATTACAGAGAGAAATCAAACAGGGCAGAGGGCTTCTGTTTCCTTTAATGGCTCGATTAGGTTATTCACTCATCGAGGTTTGCAGCTGTCATAGTAATGCAGCAACTGCCAGCAGAGGTACAATAGCACTCGTGGCAGCACGGGGCCGTGTGCCCTCTCAAAGCAGAGTGCAGTGCCTCCCCATGTGCACACGATGACTGTGCAAAGGCAGAATGAGAGGGCATTTGCCAGGCCTGGCAAAAGAGCTTCTGAGGGATTTGTCTTGAGATGCCTTTTGCTTTTGGGGGTGGCCACATGGAAGCCCAGGAAAGGGTCCATGGCTTTGCCCAAAGCCTTTGGTGAGCTGGGGACCTGGAGGGGCATTCCCTGAGCTGGAAAGAAACCCATTGCTTTCCAGCTATAAAATGCTGATATCATAAAACTAACTCACACACTGGGAAAATAAATTAGCCTTTTGAAGTGCATGCAACTGCACTGGTCTGCTGCACTCTTAGCTCAGCACTCTGGGGCAATGCAGGCTGCCAGTGCTTGGTCAGCACTCGGTGTAATGAGGTCCTGGTCCAGGAGGACCAACTGGTGTACCTCCATCCCATGAAGCTTTTCTGAGGTGCTGCCAGCCTTCCTGTGCTGAACGAGTGCTGAAAATATTCCTTACAGGAGGTGGAAGAGCTGCTCCCTGCTGTAATAATAAGATAATACCACCACAGAGATCAATTCCTGTGCTGGGGTAAGTGTCCTCATCACCCTAAATCTGGTGCTAGACCATTTTACTGAAATCAATCCTAAAAAGAACACCTTAAGGTGTTCTCGTCGTTATCTCATTGTTGAGCATTTAGTCCTGGCTTTTATCATAGTGTTTGGTCAATCTGAACCAAATAGGATTCAATGGAGGCCCTGAGCTTTCCCCAGTGCTACCACGTCCCTATAGTACACACAGCCTGTGTAGGAGATCTGAAAGTGGTGCTGTTTTAGTGAAGCATGCTCACTCTGCACAGGGGCTGTGCTGCCATTGGGTTGGCCGGGCCCACACTCTGAAGGCACGGTGACATTTTTAGTCAGATCAGTGTAAATCCAGCTACTGGGCTACATTTGATCCCATTTGCAGTGGCAGCAGTTCAGAGCATCTCTGCTGCAAACACCAGCCTGCATGTTCTTTTGGTTCAGTGGCATAGGCTGGCACAGTGGTGCCAACATCAGTGGAGAGGCTGTCTGTAGGTCTGTCCCAGTGCTTCACTTTTGTCTTTACAGGGCTGTAAGTACAAGGATTTGAGGGCACTGACTTGCATTGAAAAGTCGTTTCTCCCTAAAGCTCAACATGTTTTTTATTTAAAATAACTTTGTCTCCACTCAGAGTGCCCCTAATCGAAACCAGCACCTAACCATTAGCCTGAAAATGAAGGAAATAAAATTAAAGATTGCAATTGCTTTGGTTTTACAAGCTGGAGGCCTGGTGAGGCTTTCAGGAGAGGAGGGGAGAAGAAGGGCTCCTTTTTCTCAGTTTTGCTTGTATTACACTGATCAAAGCAGCATATTGTTAAGTAAGCACAAGTCTGGATTTGGAAATTTAGTGCATTAAAACAGCTGTGATTGACATCAGATTGCAGGAGGCAGTGCTGAAGGGAGTGCAGAGCACAGGGCTGGCATGTCTCGGGTGTTGCAGGGAGCTGCTGGGTGGGAAGGGGTACAGAGAGTGGGAAAAGGGGCTGCTTTGGTGCTGCAGGTCAGCGTGGAGCCAGGCAGGAATGTGGGAGGGCACTGCTGCACATTAAAAGTAAGTGTACTTAATGTGGCTTGCCTTAAAACAAAAGTTAGTTTACCAGTGTGGCCAGTGCAAGTATGTATTCCCAGCACCCTTTGCTTTCATTTCTCTTTTGTACTCTTTGAGCGATTCCCCCTATCTTAAGTGAAACTGAAGCTCTGCTCTGCCTCCCTCTCCACATCTCCCTTTATAATTCAAAGAGGAGCTGAGTCTGAGTCCCTGCAGGACCCAGGCTGAACTCCTGGCACCTTTGGCACGCGGTGATCCCTGGGTGTGATGGACGTCCTATGGAAGCAGCTGTGACATGGACATCAATAACAATATGGGGAGCGCTCCATGGGCTGAGCTGTGATATGTACTGCCAGTGGTGCTGGGAAGAATGAGCAGTGCTTAACTGCTTAAGCACAGCCTTGGCTACGTGATGCTGTTGGGAAGGGAGAAGCAGAGGTAGGATTGTTACAGCGTTCATCTCTCCATGCCTTCCATTGGAATGAAGCAGTGCTCTCACTTGGACCAGAGTCCATAGCGATGCTACTGAAAGAGGGGCAGTGACACAGGTAATGCCACGGCTGTTTGCATCCATGCTGAGTAGCTACATGAGGCAGAGGCCAGGAGAAAGAGAATGGGACTGTGATGGAGCCAGCAGGGATGCCAGGCTGTCCTCTGAGCCTGAATGGAGCACTGCTGGGAAAGTGCAGCATTGGGAACAGAGAAGGTGCCTCCCAGGGCCCTCTGGCCCTTTTGCCCCACTGTGCATCAGCATTCAGAGCAGCAGCTGAATTTAAGTTGTTTAAGCTGTCACCTGCTGAACTCTGCAGAAGTTGCAGCCCAAAACATTTATGATTATCGGAGTCAGCAGAGCATTGTGTGTAACCTGAGTCCTGCTAGGACCAGGTCAAAACCTGGTCAGTGCTCAGGCATCTCCCTGGCATCCCATCCCTACAGCCCCACGAGAGGGGATTGGATTTCAAACGCACTGTGTGTCGTCTTTAAAAGACATAATACAAATAATTGGCACCCCAGGACCAGGCGTCTGCGTGGGGAAGGAGGGGAGCAGAGCTCATCTGATCAAAGATGCCCCAGCCGCCTCTCCGAGCCACGTCCCTCAGGAAGGAGCCTGGAAAGACCAATTTTCACAGATCTCAGCACCAGGAAATGGGCATTTCATCATGAGTTGAGTCATGGAGAGGAGGGCTCGGCCAAGCTGCTGCTGCTAAAGCAGAGACAAATGTAATTTATTACCCTGCGTCCTGCTGAGGCTCGGGGAACTCAGGAGGAACAAGCAGCGCTAAGGAGCCCTGGCCCCCAAGGAGGCCTTTTGGAGAGTGATTAATCGAGATGGGGTGTTCTCATCCATCCGAGCACGTTCCATCCTTTCACAGATTGGTGTCACAAAGCAAACAGCACAGAGGTGCAGGGAGAAGGGCCGTTCTGACCTGAAAGTCAGGGCACCCAGCTCTTCTCGCAGCTCCTGTAGGTGCTTCTGTCACTCAGCAGCTCACTTCGTCTTCTCCTCTCTCAGTTCCCCATCTGTCAGAGCAGCACAGCACATTCAGGTGCCATAAGGAAATAACACATTCCTGGGGGCACCCCCTCTCCAGGCAGAGGCTGTGCTGTTGGTGCCTATTTTGGATTAGCAGAGCAGAGAGGCGATGCTCGGAGATGAATATGCAACGTTGCAGGAGTGATTTTACGTCTGTGCACCTACTGTAAAGCTGATGCTCCTGTACTGTCACTGCAGGGGGGTCATTAACAGTTCTGAGATGTGCTCAGGGTTTTCAGGTGAGTGGGGGCCCTTCCCAGCAATGCAAGGTATTGGGTTTCTCATGTGTGTGGTGATTAACTGATAGTACTAAGTGCTGAAGCCCACCACTTCCCATATGTGCAAGCGTGTGTGCGTGTGTAGCAAGGCCAGGCAAATGACTAATGCAAACCTGAAGAGAGACAGCAGAGCATATTGTAAAGATCAACCCTATTTCAGCTTATGTTCAAATCGGAAATGCCAGAGATTGTTTCATAGTCTTCTGCAATGTTCATTATAAAAGTCCCCAGATGGCAGATGGCTATTAGCTCACTGTGACCTATATAAATGTCAAACGTAAAGCTATTGCCCCAGTGAAAATCTCAAAATAAATAACAACAGGAGGGATGCTGTTCCGCTGCCACCAGGATTTATGGATTATGAATTCATGCTAATTCATCCCAAAGTCGGCAGAGGCATGAATGCTGTCCTTTTGGAGGGATTCACTTCACACCTGCTTGCAGATGAATGCGGGTCCTGCACGCCTGGTTCTGCACCGATGTCCTCTGCACTGCATCCCCCTATGGATGGAAGCAGCACACCTTTGTCTGAGGCTCTCCTTTGTTTGCCAAAATCTTGTAGCTACATTTCAAACAGCAGTTCCGGATTGTTTTCTTTACCCTTGTTGATCACAGTCAGAAAAGGTGGATTTGCCCCCAAGTTCTCAGGAGGTGGTGGCTCATAAGGGCTAACCTGCACTCACTGGGGCTATCTGTGTGGAGCAGGGTGGAGGAAGGGGCTTTGTTTGCTCCATCCTTCTGTCACTGAGTCCTCACAGATCAGTAATTGCAATTTCTGTAGTGAAACTTTCCCAGCCCTTCTTCCTTCCATCAGAACAGTGCAGGATGGAACAGATGCACTTTGTAGAAAGCCCAGAGTATTAGTTGTTATACCTCCCCCTGGTCTCGTTTGCATCATCATCCATCTGTGGTAGCTGTGTCACCAGAGCTGATCCAGCCCAGGTCGTGCTGCAATTGAGGTGTGGGGCTGTGGGTGTAGAGCAGAGCCCCATGTTGACACCCCAGCATCTCAGCTGGATGGCAGCAGCACGTGCAGCCCACAGCTTCTCAGTGTGCTGGGGGCCTGTCTCTGCAGGGAGCCATGAGGAGCAGCTAATTGCATGAGGCTGCACACAGAAGCTCAGCACTATTAAAGCCCCATGTGGCTGCTCCGCTTCACAATAACACGTCTGCAGCTTGCTGCAGTTTCATCTAACCACGAGGCTTTGATGTACCCTCATTAACTTCATACCTTGCCTCCATTTGTCTCAACTTTTCTCAATGTACCCAGTAGACGAGACCTTTGTAAGGAAAAGAAGGAAAAGAATCGCATTCGTGAGCTTGAAGGAATTTATCCTAAATGGCCGTTTTAGGATGATGGGCTTTGCAGTCACCACTCAGCGTGTTCCTTTATATTTCAGTGGTGCTCAGATGGTATCAAGGACACACGGTGCTCAGAAATGAGCAAAACCAGAAGAAGATGGTGGAAAAAAGTAAGGAAATTGTGGAACTGGAAAGCTATGTTCCCCTTAAGGAGCACTTCACAGAACAGGTAGTTGCTGTCAAAATGCTTTAAGCTTCACCAACACAAATTCCATGTTGTTGCTGGTTTCATAATACATTGCTCAGTGAAAACATAAACGAGCTGATTTGAGAAATATTTCATCCACATGAAAGACAGTTTGGTAAACAAAAACACAAGTGAATATTTTATTAATGCTTTTGATAAAGATGTGAACGCGGAGTGATATCGTGCAGTGAATGAATCAACTTATTAAAAAATTAAGAGGGAAGGAGGAATGTGGGTCAATTTTATCAACGCAGGAACAGCTTCAGTCACGTTTGTCTCACAGAGATGAGATTTCATTTTTGAACTGTCGTGATCATAAACATTCCCGAGGAGCACAAACTCACTTTCATTTCCTCTCACGCTGCTTCGTATTGGCTGAAAGCTCACAGCCCTCTGAAGCTGAGCATCCCTTTGTATTCACAGATGTCTCAGCTGGGGGTGCACTGCTGTCCTGCCAGTGCTGGGCAGTGAGATTTGTGCCATGCATGCAGTGTGTGCTGTGTCAGCACGGTGCTCGATGTACAACACAAGGAATGGTCCCATTTGCAACGCTGATCCATCCAGCCCAGGGCTGGGAGTAGCAGTGCATGCTCAGAGCTGCGCCTCCTCCTCCAGCACTGCATTCCACGTCATCCATCCCCACTGTGCCACAGCGTTACATCAACAGGCGACTGAAATCACACTTGAAAATTAATTTCCCACAGAGGTTTGGCCAACAGCTGACAGGTGACAGATTGCTCTGTTGGTTGTGCACGTATTGGTTCTGCCCTAACGTGAAATGGAGGTCTTGGAGCAATGTCTTTTTGGTTTTCTTTCCTTTTATTAAACCTGTAATTCCACCGTGTCAAAAATTACAGCCATCGGTCGGTGCTGCACAGAATCCTCTGTGCTCATGGTGAGCCCACGGCTCCAGGACCAGCAGGATTGTGTTCCACTCATTAACTGGGCAGGAAGATCTGATGAGCTCAGGGTCCAACCTGTGCATCTCTGCTGCTCCTGGGATGGAGCCTGGATGTCTGCATGGCATTGCACAGGGACACGCAGGCACCGCTGCTGAGAGCAAAGTTAGCTCTGAAAGAAAGGACAAAGAGATTCAGTTCCATCCTCTTCTTTCTTATCTAAAACAAAACAGGAGAAAAAAACAGTGTTAGAATGAAACAGGCTCCTTAAATTGTGCTCCAACCTGACCCTGAGAGATTCACTCATTGCCCTGAGCTCTGTGCTGGGACTCAGAAGACAGCCCCACGGATGTGGCATTAGTGGGAGCAACGGCAGAGTGAGGGCTGTTGTTGTGCCAGGCCTGCAGAGAGAACAGACAGCTTGGCTGAGAGCAGATCTTTCTCAGAGGCCCAGCTCCAGCTGCCCATGGAAGCCAAAGAAGTCTGTGCGAGATGTCAGTATTTGAGGAATTGCCATTGCAGAGATGAGGGTGCCTGGTGAACACCAGCATCCCTTGTTCTGCGCGGCACAGCAGGGGGAGAGTTAACGTGACCTAGAAGCAAAAACGAAGGCTTTCCTTTTTCATTCTTTGGCATGCGTGTTTCTTGCTTCTCTGAGTATTTGCATGACCATAAATTCAGAGCTCTGGAGGATATTTTCAGCCAAAGACTACATGTGCAGGATACCATAATGTAAACTGCATATGTTGTGAGAAGTTGTTAAATGGAACCAGCAGATGATAATGTGCCCAGCATTGCTGCTAACATCACTCGATTTCCTCTCACCATAGGTAAAACAAGCCCTTTTCCCAATCAATTCCAATCCTCAGACAGGCCCATAAATTAACATGAGGAAGAGAATGTTTTTGGCTACCAGACCTCCACTGGAGACCCAGGAGTTGGCCCCTGCTTTCAAGAGCAGCTCTGGTTCTGAGGAGATGCAGACAAATGGCCTTCGTCTGCCATTTCCCATCTCTGTGCTCTGCCTTGCAGGCAATGACACGTGTTGGAAAAATTCTGGCACAGCCCAGGACATCTGCCATCTTCCCGGCCTCTTTCCCACTCCTTTTCCAGAGTGGCTGATCCCCTTTCTGTGTGGGTTTTAGGGCTAATGGGAGCTGCAGCGTTTCCTCCTGGCTTGAGGACGTGCAGCTGTTGAAATCACACAGGGAAAGCAGCAAAACTCCATCAGCTCCATCAAGAATCAGGGCTGGAGTGGACAGGACACTGATGTTCTCCCTGGCAAAACATCTGGAAGTCCTATGGGGTTGTTTTTGTTCTTGTTTGGAAGTCTGAAATGTGGATCAGGCAAAGATTACTGTGAGATTTTCTTATGGAGCAGCAATGCAATATCGTAACGCTCTTGGTGATCTCAGCATTGCATTCTGTGCCTTTTGGTGTAGAAGGAGCAAAGGGTTCCTGCCATCACCAGCAGCTGCTCCCAAAGACGGTTGCAGTGCTGGAGCTTAGTCTGACAAATAACCAACAGATTTTCTCTCTGATGTTCCTCAACCCAACTACTGGTGCCTCTCAGATCCAAATTTTCTGGCATTATTCACGTTGCCTGTCTACCTGGATAGAGCCCAATGCTCAGCAGTACGGTGTGGTGAAATGCACAGCTGGATGGGGGCTGAGAGCTGCCCAATCCTCAGCCCCACACCAACAGATCTGTCTGCTTCATAGGAGATTGTATACTTTGCTAAATAACGTTCATACCCAGAAGTGTAACACTGAACAGGGACCAAACATACTGCGCAAGCATAGGGTTGGAGTTTGTATTTGTGTATGATTTCAAGCTGTCAGGAAAGGATGGCCACGAGGGATGAGTGGTTCTGTGCTTGGGGATGTTCTTTTATTGCTCTGACATCTTTCCATGGAGCTTCTGGAATTGCTTTGCTGAGACATGTGAAGCAGGTTGCTGTCACAGGCAGGATGTGGGGCAGATGATGCATGTGATCCATCCTGGAAATCCTGTCATTTCTCTATTTCGGAGAGCAGATATTTTTTAAAAAGTGTTTATAAGTGGAAATTACAAAAAATAAAAATAAAAATAAAAATAAAAATGCACTTTTGTTTGGAAACTCAGCCTCTGGGAACCTCTTTACCCATTCGTCACTTGCCAAATTGAGAGTTTTTCCCTGCAAGATTCCAGGGCACTGCAAGCACCTTGGGCAGCACAGGCTGAGGGGGAAAGCTCTGCTCAAGGTGTCTGAGATGTCACAAACTGTTACTGAGCAAACACAGAACCCTCAGCTCGAGCCAAGCAAAGTAACGCAGTCGCAGTGTCCAACTTCCCACGTGGTTCTGTGTGCTCCTTTTGCCTTCATGTTCATTTTGTTTCATTTCCTCTGCCATTTTTTGGCTTTAAAACTTCACCTTCGCACATATTATTTTGGTGCCATTTGTCACAAAGGCTTCTGAATTCCTTTTCTATTGGGTCAAACGTTGTCTGGGAAGCTGAAGGAGATTCCAGCCCCGATCACTGCAGGACAACTGCATCAGATCACTGCTGCTGGGGATGCTCTCCATAGAATCATACAATCATGCTCCTGCTCTTGCTGCGGTTTGTGTCTGTGCACTCACAAGAGAGGAACACAGTCCTGGAGCTGCATGGAAAAAAGGCCTTTTAACTCATAGCAATGTCTCTACAGCCCTGTAGAGCTAACCAAAGGAAACTTAAAGCAAAACCAAACCACAGCAACAACAAAAAAAGCATTTTTGTGTATATGTTCTGCAACATGGTAGCACCTTTTGCAGGAAGGTAGAAAAACGGCTCTTACTCTAAGGAAAAGATTAATTAGGAAGCTTTTTCTGCTGTCCTGCAGATTTCCCCATAAGGGCAGGCGCTGAGCATCCTGATGAGCCACAAGCAATGCTCTATCCCTCTAAAACTGAAATCATGACTTAGTAAAGGTTGGGAGATGGAATTCTTAGAATTGCAGCCTGGTTTCGATGCTGCCCTTGCCCTGGAGAAGTCAAATGTGGGTTTCTGGGATGGCAGACAGCAGGGCTCATGTGGGAAGCCCTCCTCTTCCCTCCTTCCCCTGGAGGAGCCCTTTTCATTCCCCTCTGCCAGGTCCTTGTGATTGAAATTTGAAAGCATGTAGCTGTTAATCTGGGAGTGATTAAAGAGCCTCATTTCTTGGAAGAGTCAGTACTCATCATCTGCCGTGCTGAATGAGCCTCTAACATCCCCTGATCCCATTATATTGTGATTAATTGTGCCAGTTTAAGTCAATAATTCATTTGTTAAAAATAGGCCTGCAAAGTATCATTTGTCTCTGGGGAGATATCAGAATAAAGAAAAAAAAAAATCATTTGATACTTCTCATTAAATTAGTGTTGGGAGTTCTATTGAAGGGTTCTGTTCATGAAACATTTATTGCAGGCTTATTTGATAAGAAGTTGTATTTGTCTAAAATTATGTCTGCTAACAGATGTAGCGGCCTGCATTTCCCCGTTGTTAATGAAAGGATAAAGAGTCTAAAGAAGTGCGTGGTGGGGAGAGTTGTCTGTGGTGACAATAAGGGAGATTTCTGAACATGTGTTCCACCAAACAGGCAGAAATAATGTCCTCATCTTTCACTACAAAGCGGGGTCCTCTTCTCCCCGCTCCCTCTTCAGCGTGACAGCGCGGTAATGGGAGGTTGTGTGCCTGCAATGAAAGATGGATGTGCCCCAAAGTCTCATATGTGTAAATGGTTATAAATGTTGCATTCATATTCATCGAGCCATTAAAAATGTTTCAGCTGTAAACGGTTCTAAAAGGAATATATAGGGAATAGTAGCTAGCCTGCTAATGATAATGGCCATAACTGACAGAGACGCATGCTTAATATCTTCATCTCTCCAGTCAGTCACACTCCGTGCCACACTGTGCTGCTGGAGATGTGCAGGATGATGCTCAGGTTTTGGGCTCAGAACATCCGTGCTGGGGGCAGCCCAGGTGGAGGAGGGGGCTGTGCTTGTCCGTGGTTGTGAGGTTGGTGACTGAAGCCTGGGCCGTCACCCCTTTCTATCTAAGGGCTGTCCAGTGGCATGGATGATGCCAGAGGTGGTTGCAGTCATTCTGCACTATCCAACCTTGCTTGGAACCAGTGAGGCAGCACAGGGCTCTCCGTGCTCAGTGGATCCAAGCAGGGAGCACTGAAGAAAGCAAGGAAGCATTGCTCTGGTTAAGGAAATGCGCACATTGGACTCAAGCTTGTTTTGGAAACCCAATCAAGTCCAACGTCAAGGTTTGTTCCAAAGTATATACCAAAAATAACCCAAACCCCTACAAACCACAAAGCTCTTTGCAAAACAAGGCTCTGCACTTTTTGCATGTGTCTTTGAGACATTTTATAGCTCTTGCATCAGGTTACCTGGTGATCTGCCCATCAGCCATGCCGCACAGTGTACAATCCTTCCATTGTTTGAAAGCCTTCTTGTTTGACAGCAAATTCTATTAATGTGATGTGCTTGGCCAAAAATGTGTCACTGCTGCAGAGGGGAGAGCGAAAAGCGCCTTTGAAGTCTGAGTGACAAGTTTCATATGTCTGCGTGGGGCAGAGGGAACGTGAGCTGGAGCAACAGTCCTTGAGGAGGAGGGGGACGGGGATGAGGATGGTCCAACAGCTGTGGGTGTGGGCTCTGCTGGGGGTTCTTCTTTGCAGAGGCTACACAGTGATTTTGGCAGAGGGATGGGTATCTGTGCAGCCCTATTTCTAATAAAACTTGGTGCCCACAGAGGAGCAGGGTGCATCTTGTTTATACCCAGCAGCGTATTTGGCTCAGTGAAGTCAATGAAGCTCAATGGAGGACAATTTCTGTTCAGTGAAGCTGTGAGTCTGTATAAACAGTGCAGGTTGTGTGTGTCCCACTGACAACCGGCTCATGGAAGGCAGGGATGTGCTGTCACTTTCTCACACTTCAGCAATGTTCTGTGTAGCTTCTCCTGTCAATACAAATCTGATTTGAATTGGCCTGAATTGACAGAAACCCACTGACTTGAACAGGAGATGGATCCAGTCAATAAGCTCTCATGCCTCGCAGCATGAGGCAGTCGCTAACTCAGGGTGGGCCAGAAGGAAATATCCCTGATGTGTTGATTATTCCATAAAATTGTCCACTAGGAGGATTTATGGACTTTTAGTTGCTCACAAATACAACGCACAGCGCTGCAGGGACCATTAACCTGTTCTAACCCAACAGCTCCAGGGTTCTGCAGCTCCGAGTCTCCTCACAGAGAGCGCGGTGGAAATATTGAGCACTGTAGTGGTTAAAGCACAGAAAGGAGAAGAGTTTATTGCTGAATCTTAATCCGTTCAGTAAAGCCTGAGATGTGCCCTCTGCGATCCCTGTCCTTGCAGGATCCTCCAGCTAGCTCCACCAGCAGCATTCCTAAAGTTCTCCTCCATCAGTTCAGCACGTAGGTAATCAGTGAGGTCCCTCCCATCCCAAACCATTCTGTCACTGGGGGAAAAAGGGGGAGTAGCCTCCTCCATTCCCTGGACCATGGGCAGCTCATGCAGAGGTCAGCAGCTGTCTGGCACGGCCCCTTTAAGCCATCCCTGTCCCTCCGTTCCCAGCGCTGTGAGGCTGCCTGTCAGTGGGGAGCATAAAACAGATTGTGACACAGGGCAGTGATTTTTTTAACAATCCTATTATGAAAGACAGAGTGCTCCCATTTCCTTTGCAGCTTTTATCAAGACTTAAATTGCTGCCAAGGGAGGGAAAAGGAAAAAAAAAAAAAAGAAAAAAAAAAAAACCTTCACTGCTTTTATTTTTAATTTTTTTTTTTTTTTTTTTGTAAGAAAAGATTTTGCTTAGTTACTAAATTCCTCCCTAAGTCTCCTCCAAGCAGAGATCCAACAGTATCCCTATTAAATTATATAGAGCGAGTCCAGTCCTTGGCTGTCAGCGGGACCCATCAGTCCTAATTTATCGCCCCAGGAAACACAGTACAATTATGGTAATAAATAATAATAGGATTCAGTACATGACAACATGAATGATGGAGCCTCTCAGAACTCATTTACATTGCTTTGTGTTGCAATCACCCTGCTTCTAATGTAATGCCAAGCAAATGAGCCTTTTTGAATATTGTGCAATCTATTGCAAGTCAACTGGCACAAAACTCACTCAATAAATCATGTTCAAACACATGCCTCTAATGACAGGTAAATCAACAATGAAGTAATTGCATTTAATGTATTGAAATACTGGACAAAAACAGTGACCTCGAAGTGACTTTTTGCAGAAGGTTTGATATAGTTGCAATGGCAAATGGGTCTTTTTTATCGGGCACTTCTTGCTCAGATGCACACGTGAGAACCGACGATGCTGTTCCATCACACAGCCGTATTTACAGCCCTCCTCCTCCCGGCTGCATTGCTGGGCTCGCTCGTGGGCCCACGTAACCCCTCGCTGAGGATG